GCCTGAGAAGTGTATTTCCTTGGAAACAGAGCAGGTGGGTGAGGGCAGAGCAGAGTGGGGATCTGAGAGCACTCAGGAAAGTGACTGCCACATGCAGAAGGTGGCATTTCAAGTTAGTGGGACAAGGATGAATTATGCCTTTGGTGATGTTGGGACAACTGGTTGTTCGCTTCAGAAAAAAAGTGAGAACTTTTCCTTACAATATGCACATAAACTCTTCCTCCCTATTGGCTCTTCCCTAGGCTACCTCAGGTGGCCCTCCTCACCTAACACTTATCAAAGCACCTGTCATACTGCCTTGGACTTGTTACTCAGCAGCGAGCTCCTTGAGGACAAGGACAACCCCCCATGCCTACCACAGTGCTAGGCACAAGACTTAGCACTCAAATAGTTATCGAATGCGTGGATACTTAATTTTTATCTAACCAGTATTCATTGAACGCCTGCTGTGTGCTTAGCACAGTGGAGGATATGAAGACATGTGACATGACAGTCTCTGTTCCTCCAGACCTTACTGTGTCGTTGGGAAGGCAAGATGTATACATAAGGTTGTCTCAGGCAGTGAGGTTCTAAGGAGGTCTTAGGATTTTCCCGATGAGTGCATTTGCTGCCTTAAATAGAAGCCAAGACAGATGGGAAGATGTAGCAGATGGGCAGCAAGCAGAGAGGCAGTAGTCCTGGATTGTGTCCCAGGCTCAGCTACTTACCCACGGTGTGACCCGGTCACCTCGTTCCCCCAGTGAACCCCGATGCCCCATATGCAAAATGAAGACGTTGGACCAGGACAGTGGTTCTCGGTCCTGGCTGCACATTCGGATTTAGAGATAGATGATGACGTAATTGGTCTGGGGTAGGGGCTAGACCCTGATATTTTTCAAAATCTTCCCTGGCAATTTTTAAAAATCAATTTTATAAAGATCTAAATTAATAATCATACAATTCACCAGTTTAAATTATACCGCTCAGTGGTTTTTAGCATTTTCGCTAAGTTGTACAACCATCACTACGATCTAATTTTAGAACATTTTCACCTCCCCTAAAGAGACCCTGTATCATTAGCAGTTACTCCCTGTTCCCCCCCCACACACAATCCTCCCCAGTCCTAGGTAACCACTAATCTACTTTCTGTCTCTATGGCTTTGCCTATTCTGAACACTTCGTGTAAATGGAATAATACGACACCTGGCCTTTTGTGTCTGGCTTCTTTCAGCATAATGTTTTCAGGGTTCTGTTATGTCATAGCATGGATCAATATTTCATTCCATTTTATGGCCAAATAATATTTCATTGTGTGACTATACTACATTTTATTTATCCATTCGTCAGTTGATGGACATTTGGGTTGTTTCTGCCTTTTGGCCGTCATGTTTAATGCTGCTACGAATACCCATGGACAGGTTTTTGCATGGATATGTGTTCATTCCTCTTGGGTATATACCTGGGAGTGGAATTGCTGGGTCATATGGTCACTGTATGTTTAACTTCTTTGAGAACTGCCAGGTGTTTCCCGAAAGCAGCTGGACCATTTTGTATTCCCACCAGTGGCGTATGGGGGTTCCCCTGGTGATTTTAATATTCACATCTAGGGTTTAAAACCACCAAACGGAGGGTCTCCATTTCTATAATTCTGTGGTTTCTTATCTAGGATTAGATGCCCAGGGCTGCCTCCAGGAGCCCATGTCACCCAGAACTTGGCTGAGCTGTAGAGTGTGAGGTGCGGTTGGCTTCTGAGAGCACCTCATCATTCTGGCCTCTTTGAGAGAAAGCCTTGTGGGTTCTGTTTTCCAGCTCAAGACCTTCCCCAATTTCTTCCCTGCCCTCCTCACAGTTCTGGCATGGATTCTGGAGGATTATTGTGAATAATACCATTATTATACTAATTATAATATTTAGTATGTAATGGTATAGTAATACTAATATACTAATTATTATAATGCTTTAATTATAACTAAATATAACTATAGTATTTTAATTGTAACATTTCAAATAATTACCCCATTATCCAGTATGCGACACGTTTTGATTGAGCATGCTGGGATCCCAGGGCCAAGGAGGGAAGAGGCTCTTGTGGGATCAGGCAGGGCTGTAAGAGCATCCCACCCTCCTGGGCCTGCAGAGCTATGGGCACCCCTAATAGAGTCAAGAAAGTCCTGTATGACCCCGCCCCCCCCCCCCCCCCCCCCCGCAATAGAGCATTGGCTTCTCTGGAGTTGGAAGTAGAATGGGAATGGGGGCTTCCTCTGAAAGAAAGGAAGAGAAGAAATTAGATCTGATTCGACTTCTCACTCACCTTTACTAACAGGGCACGTTGCTCACCTCCCCTAAGCCCCAGTGTAACACAAGGCATCAGCAGCTTCCTTGCAGGATAACTCCAAAAGTTAAACGCTGAAGTACCTAGGACAGTGCTGGACACACAGGCAGCCCTGTTCTTCCACACCAGATTTCTTCTCAACTCTCAGCTCGTGGAAACGGAGACTGAAGCCTATATACCCCTTCTCCATCACCCTCTCAAAACCAGGACTTGAGATCTTCTTTCCAGAACGCCAGAAGCCTCATGAGCTTCACTCTCTGTTGACAATGAGCACAGAGCTGGTCTCATTTCCTGAACTTTAACCAGTGGGACCCACAGTTCTGGGGCTGCTGAGTCCTGCTGGACCCTCTGGGTGGGCCTGACCTTCTCTGAGGTCCCTGTGAACAGGGCAGAGGCAAAACTCTAGTGGACGCCATTTACATCGTAGTCAATGTGTAGGGCACCCCCTAGAGTTCTGCAGGGAACAATCCATGAGACCATGAGCAGCGGTTTCCTTAACAGACGCACAAGTCTATAAAACTCCGTAAGTTAGCATCTCCAGGATGGTGGTCCCTCATGTGTATGAGCTGAGAGAGCTCCCAGGTCATTCTGGTCCTGCTTAGAAACCTTTGCTCTTCTGGAGACCCTTGCCCTGACAAGATTCAGGCAGCTTCTCTGACCCTCATCTATTTCTCTTCCCATTTGTCTTGCTCAGTCTTCTCCGTAAGTAGCTGTGAAAGGGAAATCACACATGCATATTTTATTTGACATGTTATTAAATGCAATTTATCATTCCCTGCATATATATTTATTTTCCTGTTTAACTTTTCACTCTGGGTTTCCTTGAAATAAAAAATCACACACTTTTACCTTGGAAAGACAAGTACATGATACCAATGCTCTATTCCAAGTCCATGGCAGACATCACTAATCAATCACAGCACTCTTTCCTCCTGAGCTGGGCACAACCTCAGACTCCTTCTTGATCTTGCATTCCAAGCAGAGGGTGAGAATCACTTAGAGCTGGCACAGGAGATGGTGTCTATTTGCCATTCCTCAGAAGGTCTTACTCAAAGCTTTCCAACTCCACCTCCAGCCCTGAATGTACAGCAGATCTCTGCTATAGGACATCTTTCCCCTTGGGTGTTCATTCTCCTATTCAGGGTAATCCAAGATGAGCCCTAAATTGGGAAGCCCTCCATCCTCCTAGGCTAAAGGGAGTTTTTTGTGTTCTGAGCTCCCAGTCTCTGTGCCTCCTTAGGACAGACATTATTTTCAACATACGTGAGAGACAGGAAAATAATGCCAACAGGCTTTGGAGTCCACACAGCTGTTGTCAAATCCCAGACCCACAGCTTCATTAATCCTCCTTCCTTTCTTCCTTCCTTTCTTCCCTCCCTTCCTCCCTTCTCTCCTTTCATCAACAAAGTATGGAACACCTACTGTGTACCAGGCAAAGGTCTCTACATCTATGAAATGGATATTTTATGGAAAATAGCTAGCACAGCACCTAGGACACAGCAAGTACGACATAGATAGCTGGAAGAAAGGATGATTTTCAGACCTGGAAATGCAGCCAGGATCAGCTGACCCACCTCGTGTCACAGAGGAGAAAACAAGCCCAGGGCAACTGTCCAGGGTTCCTGCACAAGGTTAGGGCAGAACTAAGACTAGAACCTAGGCATTTCTACTTTTTGTTGCCCCCATTACTGGCTGTGCAGAGAAGCTGGATACCCTTGGTTATGTTTCTCGTTGGAGAAATGAGGCTGGGCTGTGACCCCCAGAAGCCAGTCACACCTTATTCATGTCCTTACACACGCATGCACCATGTAAGACTGTCCTGAGCAAAGTCTCCAGGAGGCAGCCAGTGTGGACAAGAACAGCACCCTGGCTCCAGCTCTGTAGGCAGTGGGCTGAAGGAGAGAGTAGATGCAGGGAGAACAGTTAGAAATCTGTTTCAAGGGGCACCTGGGTGGCTCAGTCGGTTGAGTGTCCGACTTCGGCTCAGGTCATGATCTCACAGCTTGTGAGTTCGAGCCCCGCGTCGGGCTCTGGGCTGACGGCTCGGAGCCTGGAGCCTGCTTCGGATTCTGTGTCTCCCTCTCTCTCTGCCCCTAACCCACTTGCATTCTGTCTCCGTCTCTCTCAAAAATAAATAAACATTAAAAATTAAAAAAAGAAAAGAAAAGAAATCTGTTCCGGGAGTCTCAATGGGAGATGACATAGGCTTCCCTATCAATAGGGCAATTTTGGTAAAAATGGAGAGAGCAGTTAGAATGAAAGATGTCATGGCATTGCCCCAGCAGGTGTTTCTGCATGGTGGGGTGATCAAGAGGAAGAGGAAGTGACTCCAAGACTTCTGTTTGTGTCATGATCTTGTCAGGGGATGGCTACAAAATTATGTGTTGCTATTGCTTTTTATTTCCTCCTTCTATTTAAGGAATGTCTTTTTTTTTTTAAACAGAAGCTATATAACTTCAAATTAAGAATTTGTTAAGGTTTAAGATCTCTGATATACACAAATTTCCACTTTCTGCTTTTTCTTTGAACGCACTGTTGCCATTGTGTCCTGTTTTACAGTAACCATGTGGGTCTGTTTGCTGAACCTATTTCTCTTGGCTTTTAATGGCCAGAGAACATCTTTTAAAGTACACACGGGAACATCAAGCCACTTTACTCTTCTAAATCCTGACTCTGACACCTTCCACAGCTACCCGCTCCCTTCCCCAGGGCTCAGCAGCGCGGACCGGCTGCCTTTTGGCATCGAGGAGAACGGGGGCACGCCTTTCACTACCAAAGCTTCAGGAAGGCACCACCACCACCACCACCAGCACCAGCACCACCCAAACTATGGCCTCTCGCTGACTCTGGAGAACAAGGAGGGGCCTCTGAGATCCCCAAACTCCAGCAGTAAATCCCTTACAAGTAAGTGAGTAGGAGTGCAGAGGGCAGGGTGAGGGGAGGGATGCTGCAGGGCACGGGCGGCTTTCCTGGATCCTCAAGACAGGCCCTTTCAGCGCAGCATGAAAAGACAGTAACATCAGTTCTGGGTCGCCGGGTCTGGGCAAGAGCAGGCAAGAGCCTTGTGCATTTAAGCAGGAGCAGCTGAAGGATTACGGGTTACCAGTAAACTCTGATTTAATCCAATGTGGCGATGCTCTCACCACCTCCTTCCTTAGCTGTTTCTATTTCCACAGGCTCAAGTAATAGAAAGAGGACAGAAGCCAGGTGGCTAGAATCTGTACTTTCCTAATTACAGGAAAACCCCTTCTGTCCCGTTTCTGACTTCACCTTCCAAGAGCAAAGTGATGTCAGGGAGGCCCAGTGTTTCGGGTCCCAGTGAGAGAAGTTGGGAGATGGAGAGTAAGCAGTTCACAGCATTTTTAGCAATAGGCTAGGGTCATTTTGTATCTGTTACAACTAATAACAGTGGGCTTGGATTTTATACATCTGTTATTTTGGTTTTCTAGAAAATCCCTTTTATTATCCTTTACCAAAGAACTGTTCTGCAACAGACTGAGGGGGGAAGAGCTGGTTCTTTATCACACACGATGGGCAAAAGCACTGAGGTAGAGACAAGAGGCTTCAATTCTGGTTTTCACTATTGAGCCAAGTTGCCTCTTGGACCCTCAGTTTTCTCATCTATGAAATGGGATAGAGGATGTCTAGTTTATGACCAAGGAATCTTCCAGCTCTGACATTTCATGAGTCTGTGAGCTGGTGAAACGGATGAGCTAAAGGGCCTTCACCTGTAGACCACAGGGGATAATTCTAGGTTGGCTGAGCCGGAAATGGAAGTTCATCATTCACTTGGGGTTGAGGAATCAGAACTTGATCCCCTCATCACTATCCACATTGCCTTTCTAGGCCATGCCTCATCTTTTTGTAGCCAGATGACCGTAACAGCCCCCCTAAGGGGTACCTCCTCCGATGCAACCTCCATCTTGTAGCTGCCGACCTGAGAGCTCTCATCACAGACGGCTCTGACCAAAGACCTTTCAATGGCGTGTCACTGTCCTGAGACAAAGGCCATGTGGCCATACACAGACCTTCCCAGCCCAGCCCCTGCCAAGGACCCCAGCCTTCCCCGACTCCTCACTACACCCCAGCCACACAAAACTCCTCTCCTCTCACCAAATACTGTGCTGTGCTCCCAGCTCTGTCCTTTTGCACCTGCTACTCCCTGTGCCTGGAATGCTTTTCTCCACCTTAGTGACCTCCTACACATTTCTTCCGGAACAAGCTCAAATGTTGTCAGTGGAACCTTCTTTAACACGCCTTTCTGATTCCTAGCTTTGGAGTGCCTTCCCTTCTGCCGCTGTAGCAATTAGATAACTTTATCACTCTTATGTGGATTATCTGCACATGTCTCTGTCTTCCTCACTAAACTAGAAATGTGCCTCATTTATCTTTTTATTCCAGCTGCCCAGATCCCAATTGCAAATAATACTTGGTACAAGTTTTCGTATGTAATGAATGTTTAATAATTAAGGTATATTTCACTGTATTAATGGATAAATGGTAGCCAGTGGAAGGAGTGGTGGCAAACTAGTCCAAAATAGTACAGAAATCAAAATCCATGAATTTGGTTTTAGAAACGTAACATGGTTTTCAAGGAACATTCATATGCCTGTGAGCCTCAACGCTCATCTTTCTAATTTGCATAGTGTTTTTCCATTAATAAAGCATTTGTACACAAATGACCTCACTTAATATTCACAGCAACTCTGCAGGGTAATTTGATTTTCATTTTAAAATGGCTCAGGGGCTCAGAGAGGTAAAGTGACTTGCCCAAGGTCACCCAGCTCATATTGACAGAGTTAGGCCTTGAACCTTTGATTTTAGGTGTTCTCAGAGCCCATCAGCTGGTCATATTCAAGGGATTTAAGCTGCTGGGGGAGAAGGCAGATAGAAAGGGTACTGGGGATCAGGCTCTGGTGAGCATGTTTTATCACACATATCTCTATCACATATATATTTCAACCTCTCTTTATTCATTCCCCTGGCCACTTGTAGAACTGAGTCCAGGAGGACCTGCCCTGTTCAGCGAAGCTGCTGCCCATCTAAAGAAGCTGGAATTGGAAACTGTGAAGGCGGCGGGACCCTGGCCTGCTCTGCACATCAACATAAATAAGGTGCAAAGGACCAGGGGTGGGTGATGACCATGGAACTGGGGCTCACGTCAAACATCTGATTATTACCCTGGCCCACCTCCTAGTTTATGTGCCTTTGTCTTGGAGGGATTTCTATCTAATATTTCCTGACATTTCTGTTCAGTCTCTTTGGGTGAATTACAGCACGAGGAATTGTGCTCAGTGCTGAGGCTAATGGGCTGGACGGATCTGTTAGTGATCTCTCCTTCTGGAACTAAAGCCCAATGAGGAGGCACCCACATTTACCACCTTCCATTTTTACCTCTCTATATTGCTCTGCTCAGGCTGCTATAACAAATTACCATAGATAGGGTGGCTTAAACAACAGATATTTCTCATTCTTCTGGAGGCTGGTAGGGCAAAGATCAAGGTGTCAGTCAGTTTGATTCACTAGGAAGGACTCTCTTCCTGACTTGCAAATGGTTGCCTTGTAACTGTATCCTTACCTGCAAAGAGAGCTCACTCTTTCTTTCCTCCTCTTTTTTTTTTTTTATTTTAATTTTTAATTTTAGAGAGAGAATGTGTGTAAGCAGGGGAGAGGGGCAGAAGGAGAGAGAGAATCTTAAGCAGACTCCATGCTTAGGACGGAGCCCAACACAGGGCTTGATCCCACAACCCTGGGATAATGACCTGAACTGAAATCAAGAGTTGGACACTCAACCAACTGAGCCACCCAGGCGACTTTTTTTCTTTTCTTTTCTTTTCTTTTCCTTTCTTTTCTTTTCTTTTCTTTTCTTTTCTTTTCTTTTCTTTTCTTTTCTCTTTTCTTTTCCTTTCTTTTAATATTTTATTTTTACGTAATCTCTAGACCCAACGTGGGGCCCCAACCCACAACCATGAGATCAAGAGTTGCACGCTCTACTGACTGAGCTAGCCAGGTGCCCCTCTCTCTTCTGCTTCTTATAAAGCCACTAATCCTATCATGAGGGCCCCATCTCATGACCTCCTCTAAATCTGTTTACTTCCCAAAGGCCCCATCTCCAAATCCCATCATATTGTGGGGTAGGGCTTCCACCCATGAATGGGGGGGGGGGGGGTGTCACAGTTCACTCCATAGCACTCTCTATCTCTTACTCTGACAGTGCCTGGCACGTAGTGGATGCTCAGTAACTGTTTGCTGATGGAAAGAAGGGAGGGATTTAAGGAAGGAGGAAGAGAGGAACAGGGTGAAAGCAAAACTCTCTTTTGGCTAGACCTACTCTTTTTTTTTAATGTTTAATTTTTTTTTTTTTTTTTAATTTTAAGAGAGACAGAGAGGGTGAGAGAGAGCAGAGGAGGGGTAGGGAGAGGGAGAGAGAAATCCCAAGCAGGCTCCATGCTGTCAGCACGGAGCCCAACATGGGGCTCGATCCCATGAACTGTGAGATCATGACTTGAGCTGAAATCAAGAGTCTGATGCTTAACTGAGCCACCAGGCGCCCTTGGCTAGGCCTGTTCATATATCCAAATGAACAGCCTTATGAAAGCCAAATTTTATCTTAAAATGGTGAAAGCTCACCATTAAGTAATGATGTTAGCTGTATGTTATTGTAGCTGTTCTTTACCAAGTTGAGGAAGTTCCCTTCCTTTCTTTTTTAAAATGTATTTATCTTAAAATAGAGAGAGAGAGAGAGAGAGAGAGAGAGAGAGCGAGAGAGCACACACAAGTGGAGAGGGGCAGAGAGAAAGAGAAAGAGAGAGAGAATCCCAAGCAGTCTCCACACTGTCAGCACAGAGCCCAGTGTGGGGCTTGAGCCCATGAACCATGAGATCATGACCTGAGCTGAAATCAGGAGTCTGAAGCTTAACCAACTGAGCCACCCAGGTGCCCCAGCTCTGCCCCTTTATTAGAGGGAATAAGAAGAATTTGGAAGATCTGGCCTGGGAAGCTCTCCCTCCTTACCTGCTCTGGTGAGCATGGGAAGGTTACACCTCCTTCAAGGGCTCTTCCTCCACCACAGCCAACCCTCTAGCCTGTACTAGACTTCCAAGATTTCTTAGAAGACGCTCATTTCCCTACATGCCTACTTCCCCCAAATGGCAGCCTAAAGTCCCTTTGACAACACCAAGGGCCCACTCACCCACTTTTTCTTCTATACCACCCTCCCTGATGGCCAGCTGGAAAGAATCCCTCCTTCGGGGTGGCACTTACATTCACTCAATCAACGAATCCTTACTGAGCAGCCTCTGCTGTGCTCAATAATATCATGCGCTAATATATCATGTGGCCCCCGGATTGGTCTTCTTTCTCTTAGTCTCTTCGTTTTCAAACTTTTTTTCCTGCAGTCCACACAATAAATGGTTTTAACAGAGGCTTACCTAGAGTTTGACAGAACCCAAAAATATTTTGCAAGGAAATACAGCAGATAGCAGCAGACCGCTCCCAAGCTCTATGTAATTTGTGGTTGCCATGAGTATTGGTGGGCCATCAACAATAGTGGCTTGCTCTGGGTTAAAGTGTAGCTGAGACAACTGTGAGTTACTGCGCATTTCCCTGGAGCCCCTTTTTTCCTTTCTCTTTTTATTTTTTGCTACTATGAGCAATGCTGCTCTAAGCATTTGTGTCAAGTTTTTTTTTTAATGTTTATTTTTGAGAGAGAGAGACAGAGAGTGTGTGGGGGAAGGGCAGAGAGTGAGGGAGACACAGAACCCGAAACAGGCTCCAGGCTCTGAACTGTAGGCACCAAGCCCGACACGGGGCTCGAACTCACAGACTGTGAGATCATGACCTGAGCCGAAGTCGGACGCTTAACCAACTGAGCCACCCAGGTGCCCCTGGAGCCCCCTTTTTCTACTTCCACTTGAGGAAATACATTAGTAAGCAAGTGGGATAAAGTGATGTCAGATAACCTTGAGTTTGTCTTAACATATAGGCAAAGTATGTTACTTCACACTGTGACTCTTTATTATTAATCAAACATTCCATGCAACAGACCTCACAACTCTCCCTGATACCACAATTGGTGACCAGTGGCTTCAGTGGCTTTCAAGGATTGAGAATCCTCTGATTTTTCTAAGATTTGGATAAGTTCCTGTTCTTGATTTAGTGTTGAGAAGACATTTTCTTTTTTTTTTAAAAATTTTTTTTCAACGTTTTTATTTATTTTGGGGACAGAGAGAGACAGAGCATGAACAGGGGAGGGGCAGAGAGAGAGAGGGAGACACAGAATCGGAAATAGGCTCCAGACTCTGAGCCATCAGCCCAGAGCCTGACGCGGGGCTCGAACTCACGGACCGCGAGATCGTGACCTGGCTGAAGTCGGACGCTTAACCGACTGCGCCACCCAGGCGCCCCGAGAAAACATTTTCATCGCCCAGTTCCAAAGTGGTACCCAAAATTATCACAGGAATTTAGATCTCACCAGATTTCAGATGTGTAAACAATTTTATAAACAATTATAAAATGCATCTGATCATTTCTTTATCCCCAAACGACTTCTCCAAACAGATGGACTGTTTCCAACTATAATCATATCAAAGCCCAATTGTCATTTATTTGTATGTTTTAAAATCTGTATTTCAATATTGAATGGTAAAGCATCTTTTCACAATTCAAACTGAATGCAAAACACGACACGTGGTCATGCAGAAGAGAGAAAGCACAACATTCTTGGAACCATCCTTCAGGCTGGAATTATGGACTCATAGCCCAGATGTTTATCTCATAGAGATATCTTTGATGCAAACGTATTCGTAGAATGATAGTCAACTTTTCCAAAATTTATATTGGTTTTCACCTGGGTCAATTTGTAGAGCTGGCCAGTAGCTCCTGCTTTGCCAGATAGAACAGTAATGAGCCAGCTTGGGTTTTACATCCAAAAAAGGAGTTTAATATGACTAAATTCAAAGGGAAAATCAATGGTGAATTCCCATTCTTTTTTATTTTAGCAGCATTCATTGTTTTAAAATACATCTTCGGTCATTACTGCCAGTATAACTCTACCCCCTTAAGCAATTGTCAAAAACCTCAAGTGGGCTTTAGAACCAATTTAATTCTTGTATTCCAGCATCTCATTCCCAAAAATTACATCTAATTAAAAAGTTAACTCTTCACACACCAGTGAAAACACAGGTGCTGGTGTTGAACAATTGTCTTCATGTGGCAGGATTTATAAGTACAAGGTAAGTTATCCTAGAGCAATCCTGTCAAGCTCATCTTTCAGAATAAATAAGTTACTTATTTGCCTTTTGGGGAATGCTAAGTCTTTGGGGATAATGACTCCACTCAAAAGAGTCGGTTCTCTTCATACCCAACTTGATGGCTTAGGATTATTAGTGTCCTCATATCTGATGCTCTTGTGTGGTTGTATTTTCTAGCCAAAGAATCTAACGTGAAAGTGCCATTCAAATCTATTTTTTTTTTCTCATTTTCTCATCACAATAACCTTATGAAGAAAGAAACTGAGACCCAGGGAGGTTAAGGGGATCCAGTGTTGCCGAGTGGTCAAGAACTGTAGCTTTGCAGTCACCTGATCCTGAGTGTGAATCGTGGCTCTTTTGCATCCTTTCTGTGTGACTTGGGCAAGTGACTTACCATCTCCCTGCTTTGTTTTTCTCATCTATAAAATGAGGATAATGATCCTGTCTACCTTCAAATGGGATGGTCAAGTGAGAGGACCCAATGAAATGTGCTTAGTGAGTGCCTGGCCTACAATAAGCTCTCAGTAAACATGAGCTACTGGCATTATTTTTCTTTTTATCATCATGATCATAATCGTGATCATTATCAGCATCATCTTCTTTCTATGGTGCCAGAAAGGGAAAGAGCAGAGATTAAAATCCAGGTCTTCTGTCTCTGCTTATCTTGCTGTTACGTGAAATTGCTTCATTCTACGTGTTCTACCAAATGCTCCTCTATGTGTTTGAAGAGCTCTCTTTTCGGGGTGCCTGGGTGGCGCAGTCGGTTAGGCATCCAACTTCAGCCAGGTCACAATCTCGCGGTCCGGGAGTTCGAGCCCCGCGTCAGGCTCTGGGCTGATGGCTCAGAGCCTGGAGCCTGTTTCCAATTCTGTGTCTCCCTCTCTCTCTGCCCCTCCCCCGTTCATGCTCTGTCTCTCTCTGTCCCAAAAATAAATAAAACGTTGAAAAAAAAATTTTTTTTTAAAATGAAGAGCTCTCTTTTCTTTATTAAATGATGTCAACCAGCCAGTTGCCCTATACTTCCTCTGGGGCTTTCGTAACACTCCTGCTATGTGTACCAAGGTGCTCAATCAGACTTTCAAATTAGTAAATGAGATTACTTTTGGAACTTGCAGAACTTGAGGCCTTTGCAACATTTTGTTCTTGCTAACATGCCACATGAAGTCCTGATATCACTTAATTGACTTTCAGCAATCATATGGTCTTATAGCTTTCTTAGTAAGCACATCTCTTTTAATAATAACTCTATATCATTATAATCTTCTTTAGTAGGTATCTATTGAACACCTGCCGTGTGCCAAGCACCATGTTAGCACTGGAATATGCAGTGACCGCAATAGGCATGGTTAACATTAAGACATTAATTCCAGTGTGATTTCAGGTTGTACCTGAAATGATGATTTCAGGTTGTACACCTAAATGAGTATTTTTTTAATAGTTATGTAATTATCATAATGTCTATTATAATAAACATAATAGTCACCAAGCCTGTGATTTCAAAGATATTATTGTTTACGTACTTAAAATAGGTAGTGCCGGGGTAATCCACCGTAATTGGATCATGTAAACTATAGGTACCTGTTGGGGCGCCTGGCTGGCTCAGTGAGTAGAGTATGTGACTCTTGGGCTTGGGGTTGTGGGTTCGAGCCCCACATTGGGTGTAAAGATTACTTAAAAATAAAATCTTTAAGGGGTGCCTGGGGGGCTCAGTCACTTGAGCTCCCGACTCTTAATTTCGGCTCAGGTCACGTTTCCAGGGTTGTGGGATGGAGGTCCATGTCGGGCTCTGCGCCGAGCGTGGAGCTTCCGTAAGATTCTCTTGCTCTCTCTCCCTCTGCCCCTCTCCCCCCCTTGTCCTCTCTCTCTTTCTCTCTAAAAAACTTTAAAATAAAATAAAATCCTTAAAAATAAAATAAATTATAGGCACATGTTTAGTTAGTACCGAGGAAATGGGAAAAATAGTGAAGTTGATACCAAATTACACTCTACAATGAGGTAGCCCAGACACAGGTTTCTTGAGCTACGCAATTTTCAGCCAGATTTATTGTAAAAATACCGGTGACTATTTCGCACTCTTTCTCCAACAAGTCACGGAATTGAGTCTTTCTATGTAAGAGGTGGCGGTTATGGGGGAAACAGCGCTGCAGTAGGCTGTGGGAAACTCGAAGCTGGAGTCCTGGAGCTGCCCCAGGCTCTCACTGCCTAACTCTGGAAGAGCCTCTACTCTTTAACCTTCACCCCGTCCTCATAAGTTCCCTAGTACCTCCTCTCCCCACTTCACCAGAGCGGGGGAGGTGTGCTTGTGAATCCTTTGCAAACAGTACGAGCAGTGGCACAGATATAAGGAGTTGGTGACATACTTGGGCATGTGTTTAAGACTGTGCTATTTGCAGTTACGGTTGAACGGAAAGGTTGATGTAAGTGTTGTCTTTCCTCTTTGCTTATATAGTCTGTGGCGTGTGTTCTGGGTTTGTCACAGGCTGAAGAAAAAAAGGTTTCTGAGAAGACTCTTCAGACCCCACTTTTGCCTTCCCCTGTAGCTGATCACGTGAAGTGTAACATTTTGAAAGCCCAGCTGGAGAACGCATCCCGAGTAAGTGCTCAGGTACCCGAAGCACATGCATTCCTTTGATTTCGTGTCACAGGATTTTCTTCCCGCCATATAGAAGAAAGAGGCACTCTAGGCCTGAGATACTGCCAGTCAGGGTCCAGTCAGGAGACAGGAACCACACCTTTTGTGTGAACAGTTTGAATACCAAGAGTTATTAACTGGCATACACCTGTTAACTGTGTAAGCAAAGGGGCCGGCTCTGTAGGTTGTGATGGGTGTGAAGGCCACAGGCTGCGTCAGTGACCTCCAGCATCCAGTCTGCTGGCCTCACTGGCTGAGTGGGCGTCCTTTCCTCCCCCACCATTCTTTGTGGGACTCACCAGAGGCAGGAAGAACAGGCTTCTTTCAAAATCATATGACATAATTCCTCCCAGGCTTATTACACTGATATGAAAAGACAGATTCTGAATTCCTTTGTAAGCTGTGATATGTGAGCATAGAGCTGATTATTATTCCTGATCTAAAATGTGAGGTGGGGGATTAAAGTGTGGGTTTGACTTTTCCCACACCATCCCTTTCTCATTCAAGCGTGAGGTGGCACATAGCAGGGGCTCAATAAAAGTATGAATGCAAGGATTGATTGCATTTGAATGATTAAGTGTTAATCCCAATGATGGGGGATGACTCACGAAAACATTTTTTTTTTTGTTAACTTATATAAACACCAGAGAAAATTTCTTATTGACTGAGCACTTGGTGCTTTGAGTTGCCTTCACATCTCTGTAATCCTTCAAACGTTGGAGACTTGAAAGCACTTTGCTCACTAAGATACTCAGTTTTGACTAAGCTGCCTGTTTCCTTTAGCAGGTTGGAAAAGAGGAATCGACGTTTGTAAATATCAATAAGAAATCCAGTCTGCAGGATGCTAAAGTAAGGTCTGTTGCTTCCTGTTTGAATGGGGAAACAGTACTCTGTATCATCAATGTTATCCTTGAGACATTACTCACAAGGGCATTTGCTGATAAATCAGAGGGGAAAAAAAAACTGGAAAAAATGCGAGCACAAAGAGAGAGAAAAAGACTGGTTTAAAACAAAGACTGGCTTAAGTCTCAGAAATGCTGCTTATTCTCAGTTTTATTATTTCTACCTGCTGTGCTAACAAAGAAATCACTTTGAGTTGCTTTTCAAGTATATAGATAAGACCCTGTCATTCCCCTGCTTGATGTCATTTAAAGGCTCTGCATTGCTCTCAAGGTGGAGTCCAGACTTCTCAACAGAGCACAGGAGACCCTTTAGGACCTGGCTTCTGTCCTCTGTCCCAGCTCACCTTATCACTCTTCCCTTGGCCATTGATATGCTCTTCATACTGAGTTATTCTGTGGTGCTAGAACCACACATGTTCTTTAAAGCTTCCAGGCTGCCACCACTTTAACCCCAGAGGAAAACCTTCCTCTTCTGATCTCACAGAGAGCAGACACACTTTCCCCCCTGAGCCCAAGTAAGGAACAACCTATAGATCATGGTAACTCCATTGCCAGCTTGGTGGTCTACTAATACCGGGGAGGTCTCCCTAGGGTGCGTTTCCTAAAGTGCGTCCAAGGGTCACTGCATCAGTCTCTTGCTAAAAATGCAGACTCTTGGGTCCTACTCCAGACCTTTCAGATCCTTTGGGGTGGGGTGGACAGGAACCGGAATTTCAGCAAGTACCCCAGGAACCACTGCTGTGGACAATTCTCGATGTTAAAAATAAAACTAATACTTTTCTATGTCACCTTTGATTCCTAATCCATAGTTTTGGTATAACTCAGGCATACCCCAGGGCATATACCCGGCTGCCTCCTGAACTTTTCAAAATCTTTTTTTTTTTTTTTTAATTTTTTTTTTCAACGTTTTTTATTTTTGGGACAGAGAGAGACAGAGCATGAACGGGGGAGGGGCAGAGAGAGAGGGAGACACAGAATCGGAAACAGGCTCCAGGCTCTGAGCCATCAGCCCAGAGCCTGACGCGGGGCTCGAACTCCCGGACCGCGAGATCGTGACCTGGCTGGAGTCGGACGCTTAACCGACTGCGCCACCCAGGCGCCCCTGAACTTTTCAACATCTTATTCATCTCCTCCCACCCTATCCCACTAACCCTTCACCTGTTTTTCAGTCTTGGTTAATGGCATTATTACCTACCTGTTATCCAGATCTGAGGCCTAGGAGTCCTTGCCTTTCTCTTCCTTCATCCCTTCATATAATTGGTCACCAAGTCCTGCTAATTCAGTGTTCACATTTTCCCCTACATCTATCCTCTCCCCTTCATGACCCTAATCCTGGTCTACCTCAAGCCCTCGCTATCCCTCTGCCTGGATACCTATCCCCAGTCTTCGAAAGTGCTCCCGGCAGCCTGTTTTCACCAGTATCCTCCTCCTTGTTCTAAAGGCCTTTCTAAAATGCAAATCTGGGGGTGGGGGAGAAAAAATAAATAAAAAATAAAAAAATAAAAAACTAAAATGCAACTCTGACTAAGCCATTCCCGTGCCTAAAACCTCTAGTGACGCCTTGGCTTTCATTGTAAACCCTGGAGCCTGAGGCCCTTCACAAGGTTTCCGCCCCGTTTCTTCCCCTGCTGGAGGGGAAATCCCCTGCTCCTCCCTTGGGACCTCACCCATCAGCAGCACCAGCGCCTTGCATCCCATAGCCCTCCACTCTGTTTTCCACCTTGGAAGTCTTCCCTCCGTCTGGTTAAGTGAAATTCCTCCATGGAGCTTTCCAGATGCCAGTCACTCTACCCAAGTGAAGTTACGTGCTCTCCTGGTTGAATATAAGCTCTTCCAGGGACTATGTTCAGGTGACTCTAGGGTCCCAGCTTGAGGAAATCATGAACCTGGACTACACAGACTCCAATTCATTTTGCTCATTCACGTGTTTATTCAGTAAACATTGACTAGACCCTGGCCATGTGCCTATTACCATATTAGACACTAGAGGAGAAAGTGGGGATGCGGAATTGTTCATTGCCTTGCCAGAAGTTCCTTGCTGAGGACCTCAATTTGTTTTGATATCCTTTAGTCCCAGAAGATAATTTCTGGTTTTGTAAAATGAAATTAGTCATAACTACTACAACAATGTATGAAAGGTTTCCCTTAAAATCACTGTTTTGAGTAGGGCCCACTGGTTATCTGGCATATTTTCTTGAGGAAATATAGAAGTGAAACAGTTTCTAACATGTTCACCTATACACGATATTAAAATGTTTTAGAACAAGACTTAAAGGCCTTTTGATTATGCATTTTTCATATTAAATACGCTGTTTATCTTTTAAAAAATATATTCCATGCCATATTTAAAATAACACAGCTTCCAGATTACTTGGAAGTGAAAACGGGCTATCCACAGGTTTCTCTTTGCTCATTTTATAGGCAAAATCTGGTAATGAAGCAAACCCTGGAGGTAGATGTTTTGGGTAGGGAAGCTTTACATGGAACCCCAATTATATTCAATTCTTACCTGCTATATTTTCTTCCCTATGATTTTAGTTTTTATTTTTGGGCTTTCTATGATTTTTTTAAAGTTGTACTTAATAAATATATTTAATAAATATAAACAAATATTAAAATGTTATATTAATTGATTAATATTAATATTAAAAATAAATATGAATAATATATTTAATAAATATATTTAATAGAGTGGAAAGGAGGAAAAAAGGGTACATTGGTTATCAATGTTATTAAGGGTATAAATTAACTGAGAAAGCAGTCCCTACCGCCAAAACAAGACCATAAAACTTTTCTGTTGGTAATATTCTGTTTTTTGGTATGCCTCTAGAAGTCCTATTCCTATACGTGTGGAAACTACCCAACCAGCTGTGGAAAAGCCGGAAATCAAGCCTCCCCGAGTGAGGAAGTTAACAAGACAATACAGTTTGTGAGTTTTGTACTGCAAGTCTTTCAATTATAACCACAAAATTGATGCTAAATGTTCAGTTATAAATGCTTTTTAGCCTCTCACACCCTCTCCCAAGAGCCATCCTAAAAATACAGTTTGATTCCAATTTAAGTCATAATGGGACTAGACTTTTCTCGTTGAAGACCTTACACGGTTGGCATATGTGTTATTGATTGTTATGTAACAAATTACTCCAAAATACTACAGTTTATGTGGGTTGGAAGTCCAGGCATGGCTTAGTTGGGTCTTCTGCGTCAGGGTCTCTTACAAAGCTGCATTCAAGGGTTGGCAAGGGCTGTGGTCTCCTGCAGGCTCATTCCTGCAGTTTGGGGCAGGATTTGGTTCTGGCTGGCCACTGTCTGGAGGTTGCCCTCAGTTCCTAGTCATGTTGGCCTCCCTCGCTTTCTCCACTGGAGAAAGCACACAAGAAGAGCCAGAGAGAACTCTCACAAGGCAAGAACTCTCACAGCCTTTTGTAACCTAATCACAAATGACATCCCGTCTCTTTTGCCGTATTCTGTTCATCAGAAGCAGGTCGCCAGGGCTAGCCCACTCTCCAGGGTCAGGGATTACACACGGGCATGAATACCAGGAGGAGGAATCATCGGGAGCCATATCAAAAGCCGCCTCTACAGCATAATCGTGAGATGGTAGCCTGGTTTGTCAACAGAGCCAAAGCTGATCATTGAGCTGTATGAGACCTAGGAGGGGAGTCATGCCCAGAATAATCCAGAACCACCGGGGCCTGTCCAGTTTTGTTTCTCTTAATGAAAATTTCTTGGCTACCATGTGCACAAAGTTGTTCTAGGCAGAGCAAAATGACTTTGCCAGTTCCCATCTCAGGAGTCACAATTTATTGGAGGGAGAAACTGATTGCCAATAATTACAATCCAAAGGAGACAGGTAAGGGCTGTAATAAGAGGAGTAGTAGTTTAGTAATAGCAGCAGTGCTAATCACAGTGGTGGTTCCCATTTCTTGACCTTGACTGTGGCACTATTCCTGGGTGTTTAATTGGTCAGAGGACTGCAAGAGGATCTTTGGGTGCCATTGAAAGCATGTGGGCCTGGAGTCAGAAAGGCTTCTTTCTGTTAGAGCCCTGGCTAGGTTACCTCTATAAACTCTGGGGGGAAATTACTATTTCAGCCTCTCTTTTTCTGTAAGATGGGTGAGGTGATACCTACCCCTGAGGAATTTTTTGAGGGTTAACCTGAGATAATGTGGGTAAAGCCCATAGCAAAGAACCTGGCCATGGGATGAATTGGTTCCCTTTCCTTTCTTTTCAAGGACCTGAAAGCCTCTGAGAAAAAGTCAAGTTTAGAGGGTACCCTGAGTGCAAAGTGTAGGCCAGTAAGGGTAACTCAAGATGCAATGCTCAAACGGCCGTCTCAGGCCTGCCACCTGCACCTTGTGAAAAGGAAAAGAGGCAGCCACCTCCCACCTCATTAGCCTTAATAGAACTCTGGACAGTTACAGCGGCTGTATTTCCTGGGAAAGCCAAAATGGGTAATTCAAATAATTAACAGTCCTAACGGTTTCTGGGGGACAAATCAAGCCATGAAAAAAATCTGCTCCCCTGAGGATAAAGCTGTCGGGATTAACCTTTCCTTTTACATTTTGAAACTCCAAAGGTTATTATCACCTATTTGGGACATGTAACCATGTTGGAAACAATGACTAATACATGGCCTGGAAGGGAAGAAAATTTAACTCACTACATTGGCTTGTTTAAGTAAACCTCTAACTTCACATGTATATTTCTTAAGCCACCCCCACCCCCCACAAAGTGTTCTGTTTCAAAAATCAAAGACTAGCAGGATTTTCCCCATTAGTAATAGCAGCAAAATTAATGGATGGGATTTAAGCTTGTGCCCCATTAATAGTTCTTAAATCGTTGACACTGGTCACCACTTATTTGCTCATCTCTTCTAATCACAGATATTGACAAAGTAAATAAGCACAATGTCAAGGAATACAGATGGGAAAAACTCAGATTTTCAGTTTAAAAAATATTTCTACATTACTATTATTGAAATGCACACACACACACATACACAGCCCTTTTAGCTGTCATAGTATATCTAGTTCTAGGACAGCAGGATGTGTGTTTGGATTTTAGGCTTTCCCACAAGAGCATCACAATGTTCAAGTGCTCTGAACAACTTTTCAAATTGCTGCTTTTAAGGATGTAAACAAAAACCCCAGCCATGTTCTTTCCTGGAAATAATGACAGAGGGAGGAAAAGTGTGGCTGTTATGTGCAGAGAAAAGAGAAAAGCAGAACTCTGTAGAGTTTGAGGCAGGAAAAACGTCATCTTTCTATGGATACCAGCCAGTATGTTTAGAAAATGATGAACTGCTTTATGTTTTTCAAGAAATATAACTTTATTATACATCTAAACATAGTGTAAAAGCCTAAAAATATTCTGAAGAGAATAATATTCCAAGCCTAAAGAGAAAAGGTAACCGATCCCCTAGCATCATGCCACCAGAAATGACTGATGTTCATATTTGATGACTATTATTTTAGACATTTCCCACATGTGGTTAAAATGGAAAGAAATAATTCCAAAGAAAAGACTCTAACTACACATAAAATTGTACTGATTAAATGATATTTCATGAATTTAACATGAATTTACCTTAGAAACGGAGGTTGAATTGAAAGATGTGATGAAGTTAGGTAGATGTCTCTTTGCTACAAGATCTAAATTAGGACAAAGGTTATAAAAACCATCAAGAATTTGGAGTCTTTTTCAATTTTAGGCGGTGTCGGTTGACTTCCTATTGTGAAAGATGAGCTTTGTTTTTTGTTTTTGTTTTTGTTTTTTAATGGCAGAAAATAATTTTAGCCCCACTTTTCCACTTAACTGCTATGTGACCTTGAGGAAGTCATGTTACAATCAGCCACTGGATATCATCTACTTCTCTGAAGAGTGGAGACCATAATGCAGGGCTGTTGTGAAATTCAAATGGGCTAATAATGCATGTGTTACTGATCTGACTTACTTCATCAGCATGGATCCAAACATGTGGCGTCTTATTAATGTTCCTACTTACTTATTCCAACCTCACCTGTTCCCTTATTAATAATAAACTCTAAATCCTCCTCTTGAGGCTTCTACATACACAGAATGATCTGAAACCCCCCAGGACCCCTCCCTCAGTGAGTCCTATCCACAGCAATTGTATACCATGGCCACATTTCCCAGGAGGTCATTGCCATGGTGAGGCCCCCGTCAGGCACCCTGCTCAGGCCACACTGGTGCCCACTGGCCATGGGCCTTTTAGCTACACCCTTGCTCAGCCATCATTTCTAAAACATAACCACTGTGCCAGTGTAGTTCTAGAAATTCCACACGGAAGCCCCTTAGGGAAAGTGTGTCAGGGTCCCCGAGACTCCCCTCAAGTGTGATGATAGCATAGACTATGTGGCATGGCCCAAGGTTTCAGGTATGCAGTGACACCCTTATCAGGCAGGATATTCCAAGGGCCCAGAGGTTCTCCCAGGAGCTCCCGGTGGCCAGAGGGTCCTTTGGAATATGCAGAGCTGGAGCACCCCAGGCCTGCAGAATTAGCTCTTTTCTGCAGAGGCAGCAACGTGGTTGGCATTAGGGGAGAGAGGGCTTGTCTTAATTTCTAGAAGTTTGAGAAAATACTGTCTATACTGAGAGGGGGAGATTGATGGTGCTGCTCTGTCCTGTGCCAGTATGACCAGATTAAAAGGGCTTCCTGCCTTGCCATACCTTGTGGGAGATCCAACCTTCCCCACAAATCCACACCCTGGAGACAAACCCAGAATGTCAACCCAGACTTGTCCTCCCTCATGGTGACTTCCTGTCTAGTGTACTTTTCTGCCTGGATCATCCCATTCCATCAGAGAGCTTCTAAGACCAGAGCTGCTGGGCCCCCAAATAAATGTGCCCAACTCCTCCCCTGTAACTACTTTATGACCCCAAAGGAATGGTTGCTGTTAGGCCACAAAAGGGGCCATTATCCTTTTCACTCATGGCAGTGGGTTCTCTTTTAAACATTTTATGTATGTATTTATTTTTAATGTTTATTTATTTTGGGGAGAGAGAGAGAGAGAGAGAGAGACAGAGCTTGAGGAGGGGAGGGGCAGAGAGAGAGGGAGACACAGAATTCAAAGCAGGCCCCAGGTTCTGAGCTGTCAGCACAGAACCCAACGCAGGGCTTAAACCCACAAACCATGAGATCATGGCTTGAGCTGAAGTCGGATGCTTAACTGACTGAGCTACCCAGGCACCCCACAGCAGTGGGTTCTTTAATGGCTTGTATTTACCCTCCTAAAGGAGGCCACTCCCTTGGCTTGGTGGCTCCTCAAAAAATTAAGCATAGGACTACCATATGACCCGGCAGTATGACCTCAAGTGGGATTCCAATCCCAAAGAATTGAGAGCAGGTTTTCAAACAGATGTTAGTACCTCAGCAGGTAAATGGATAAACAAAATACAACCTGTCACTGCAATGGAATATTATTCAGACATAAAAAGAAATGAAATGTTGACATAGGCTACAGCGTGGATGGACCTTGAAAACATTATGGTAAGTGAAATAAACCAGATACAGAAGGACATATATTTCATGATTCCACTCGTATGAGGAACTAGAATAGTCAAATTCATCCAGCCGGAAAGCAGAACAGCTGTTACCTGGGGGCTGCAGGGAGAGGGCATAGGGCATTATTGTTCAATGGGTACAGAGTTGCTGTCAAGGGTGATGAGAAAGTTTTGGGTGTAGACAGTGGTGATGGGTACACAACATTGTGGATGTTTTGAATGTCACTGAATCATATGCTTACCAACGGATAAAATGATAAATATCATATATGTCTCTCCATAATAAAGAAAACAATTCGAACCTGTTGGCAAATGACAGAAAATCCAGCCCAAATTGGCTTTGGTGAAAATGTCACTGTATCGGATCCTGTAAGCTGGACATCTGGCAGACATCTGTTTGGGGAGCTCCCCCACCCCCTCCCGGCCCTCCCTGCACTCCCCACAGCCTGTTTATTGTTGTAATGAGCAGAGCTTCATGTGCTTTTAGTAACCGCAGTGATGAAGATGACCTCCCTCCCGACCTGGCCGAGGCAGTAGGAGCGTCCACAGCCGCAACCACACACACCACCACGGCCACCACGCAAGTCTCAGCGCCACTGGTGTCCCCCAAGGGCCACAAAGTCAGCTCGCCTCAGAATTCAGAAGGCAAGGGCCCGCTGTCCCCAGGGGCCAAGGTATGGGGGGAAAGCCCCGAGAGGAGTAGCTGCATTTGCTAGGAATTCAGTATAAATGTAGTGCAGGGCATCCCTCGAGCATTTAAACTTGGCACAATCAACTGTGTGCTCGTAAAACAAGGGTAGCAACCACCGGGGCAGGGTTTTTATAGAACTGTCCCCAAAAGATGACCTAACAGTTTATGAGACACAAATGGCGTAAGAAAGACCTTGTACATTGTACTTTAAGAGAAATGGGAGAGATTTTTGAGGGTGATTTTGATTTTAGAATATCATCCCTATATAATCCATTATTGCACCGTAGAGGTAGAAAACAAGAAATGTTTTTTGCCCCATAATGGAAAACCTGGAGGAGTGAAAACATAGGAGCGTCCCCATCTCATTCCTTATATCAGATGGCCGATACAAATAGTTTAAAAATGGGAAATATTATTTTCTTCGTCAGTTTGAAATTTCGGGAAGTTGCCAGAAATGTGAATGGGCTGTGACAAGGCCTTGCTCAAGACATTTCTCTTGGTTTGCTCTGAGTGCCCCTTGGCTGCGGTCACTCTACGGCAAGTGGTCCAAATACATTCAAGCCTATTGCTCTACAAGTAGATGCCAAGTCAAAGGCTGCTTGGTCTGTGGACCCCACCGAGGAATGGTGGGTGCATGGGGTGGGGGCCCTGAAGGCAAGACCAGACCCCAGACTGTGCTTCCAGCTGCTCTGTTCACATGCCTTCTGGCTGCTTGCAATGAGCTGTCACTCCACAGCCCTTGTTTCTCCAAGCCTCAGCTTCCTCCTCCTAAAAATGAGAATAAGATCTGCTTCCCTGCCCAGCTTATGGGCCAGTGTCCAGTCCAGTGGAGGTGACATCTGGGCAAACAGGTCATGATTCCTGATAGCCTCTAAGTAACAGTGGGCCAGGCCACATCCTCCTTGACCAGGGCCAGTCATTTCTCAGCTCCCTTCCCAGGGTCTTTGGGATACTTTGTGGTCCTCAATAGGACAGGCTGCTCAGGCCGGGGACTCCGCAGCCAGCGGCTGGCCCGAGTGAGGCTCCCTGCTTTCCTGCAGATCAGCTCCTGGGTTCCCCTGTCTTGTGCAGAATCCCTGATATTGCTTTGTCCCAAGTATAGACACAGGTTCCTATCACAGATTCTTCACCATGGTTAAAACCAAGCGAAAATATTTATGAAACAAAGGAGAATTCAGTGGGGATGTGGGTGGCATCGTACCAGAGGCCACAGGGCTCCCTCTCCTGGCCATCTCTCTCCTTAGGGCCCTGCTTGTGCCAAGTTGATGGGGTTTATTTTTTTTTCCCACAAAGGGCCTCCAGGCCTCCCATGCTGCTGAGACCCTAGGACAGGAGGAAAAAATGTTTTCCCAAAAACTGAACATGGTTTTCGGAGAATACCTCCCTCCCACCATAAAGATCTTCCTAATTATTACGCAGATGAGGGTTTTCTTTAACTTCTTTTTTCTTTTATTTTTTTAATGTTCATTTTTTGGGAGAGAGAAAGAGAAACACACACACACACACACACACACACACATACACACACACACACACACACACCCTGTGTGAGCAGGGGAAGAACAGAGAGAGAGGGAGACACAGAATCCGAAGCAGGCTCTGAGCCCTCAGCACAGATCCCCATGCAGGGCTTCAACCCATGAACCACGAGATCATGACCTGAGCCGAAGTGGGACGCCCAATGGACTGAGCCACCCGGGTGCCCCATTTAAATTCTTTTTTAAAGCGAACCCTGTGCCACACATGGGGCTTGAGCTCACAACCCTGCAACCCTGAGATCAGGAGTCCCATGCTCTACTGACTGAGCCAACCATGTACCCCCTGCACCCATGAGTTTAGCTCCTTGAGGCCTTGGCCCTCTTGATCCAGGATGGGGTCTTTGCTCTCTCTATATTCAAAGGACTGTTTGAAGCATCTCCCCCTCCAAAAGACCAGTCAAAGAGCACCGAAAGCACTTAAAGAGAAGTTGTTGGCACCTTTTAAAAGAAGGCAGTTCTCTAGCTACATACTGTTTCTGCCCATTAAGGTTTCAGAAAACATGTGGGGTTTGGTCTCTCCCACTTGCACGCTGCTGGGCAAGGGAATGGTATAGAGGACTGGCAGAGTCATGGGCTCCGTGATGGGAGGGAGGGAGAGGAGGGAGAGGAAACTGTGTTTTCTGGTGAAATTCCCTTGTCCGTCTGGAGCCGGCACTAACCAGTGATGTTTTGTGCGCCTTCCTAGAGTCCCTCTGACCGAGGAGGTGCCTTTACGTTGGAGCCAGGCGATCTCCTGATGGACTTCACGGAAGCTACTCCTCTGGTAAACCTCCCAGTGTGCTAAAACCAGAAAAGCCCCAGGCTTTAGAAACATCTTAATAGTGGGGCGAATGCACGGAGGTGGGCATTGCCACTGGGAAGGCCCTTCCTCTTGTCCTGCTCACAGCCCGGAGCCTCGGGGATCAGCCTTCGTTCAGGGGTTCAGGGTTCGGGCGCATGGTTCCCTCTACCTCCCAGAGCCCTCCAGGGAGGTGGCGCTCCCTTTCTCCTGAGGGAGGCCACAGGGGTCCCGCCCGGCCTGTCTGCTGCTCCCATAGCATGTAGGGCTCCTCGGTGCTTGGGTCTTGGCTTCTTGGCTTTTCCGGGGCTGCTCCCTGCATGCCCACCAAGGGGTATCTTTCACTGCCGCTTCTAACAACGTGCTCCGGTCTGAAGCACGGGCTCCAGGCCTTCTCTCAGCTTTCCAAGCCCCTCGTGCCTCCCTGCCGTCCTCTATCCCTTGCATACATGTCTCCCCTTAGGGATGGTCCTCATGGAACTCCTGCAGGTGAGAAACCCTGTCGGGGGAGAGAGCACTGGACTGGGAGTCATGCAGGCCAGATCTGGCTCCGGTCTCTGTTCCCTTCCTTAGGAGCCTCGTCATGGGATAGAGGATGCCATTGTTTCTCGTGTCTGCCTAAGAATGTTCTAATGATCACGTGAGAGAGAGCCCTTGACGACTGTAACAGCACCATAAATGTGTGTGACGTGTTGTTAGTAGTGTTAGATGACACAGGCAAACGTGGAGGTACCCTCGGCTGGGCTCAGCCTGATACTCAAGTGTACTTGAGCATAAATTGTGGTCCACACGTGTGGAACGTGAGTCAAAATACCTCCTGAAAGCTCACTGCTCACCTGGCTTGCGTGAGGCTCTGGGAGTGGACAGGGCAGCTAGAGGCTGGAGGGGAGTCGGGTTGATAAAGGGCCAGGATCGACAGGAGAGCCACGTAGGACATGCCAGGGGGAGAAGCCAGAAGTGAGAGTCATTCAGGACTGGCTCACTGGAGGAGAATATGGTGGAGAGGAAGGCTTTCCAGAAGGCTTTCAAGAGGAGGCAAATGAGGCAAAATGCTGCCTAGGCCTGAGGAATGATCGCCGTGTCTGCCTCAGCTGGCACAAGGAAATCATTTGTGATTTAAACAGTTGTCCTTGTCATCTGGAGAGTTGGTACAGTCTGAGAGCTTCGAGTCAGCATGTTTGGATAAACAGCCGAGAACCGACAGTGGGCAAGACACCCTGGGGTCTGGGAACCTTCAGAGTTCCTTCCTTCCCATGTTGGAGAAAACGCAGCTGACTTACTGATGGCCTTCTTGTTAAACAGATTGTCATGATAGGGTAACCCAGAAGCAGGGCCTTCCCTCACCTCGTCCTCCCTTTGCACAGATGGGGAAATTGAGTCCCAGAGTAGGGTAATCACACAGGGACCGAGCTTGAGCCCGGCTGTTCCAGCTCCTTCTCTGGTGCCCTGTGCATCATCAGATTGGGCTAAGCCTGGCATCTGGATTTCAGGGACTTGCCACTTTGGAAAAGAACAATGCCTGGAAGAAGGGCTATGTCTAAAGCGCTCCTCAGACTGAGACTGCAAACCCTCAGCTGGAGGGCAGCAAACCCCGGAAGGACCCGACAACCCCTGGGGCACGACCTGAGGGCCTATGAAGGCAGAATGGGGAGAAAGCTAAGTTCCTAGACCCACATTGAAGAAAACATGCCAGGCAGGAGTAGAGGACAGTGGGGGAAGATCTCTCTGTGAGTTAACCTCTTAAGCAACTTCCAGACTGCTGGAGCATGCTGCAATTAATGTCATAAGAGAGTCTATAGAAATGGCTACTGCTGTGAAACCCAGTGCCTAACCCTGTCTGGGGCCACTGAGAAGAAGAAGGCTTCATATTGCTAGGGTTTTGAAGTATGAGTAGGAGTTTGCCAGATGGAAGTAATGGAGCAAAACAATCTATGCGGAGGGTACAGCATAAGCAAATACGGAGTATTTATTAAACATTCTGGCATATCTAAGAAGTTGAGGTATGTTACAAAAAAACATATTGTGGCTCGGACAGGAGTGATGAGATTCCCTTAAAAACCACTGTGTTGCAGATCCAGCTGGTGGATCTGCTTGCCTCATCTGTATCCTTTCTTTGACCATAATGGTCTGAGATTAGAAAGGAAGCAGCATCTGCCAGGGACCCAGAGTTCCTCTGCTCTGAGGCGCTAATGCCTACCAAGTGAGTGTCCAACCTCTGCTTGTACCCTCCTGGCAAAAGGGAGCTCAGTCCTTCTCCGAGCACACCTTGCTTCCATCTCTGGGCTGCTCTGAGCTCCGAAACAGAGTGTGGGGTGCTGCACTGCCCTGGCACGGGGCAGCTGACGTCCTTTCGCTGCACTGAGACACGGCTGCCCGCGTCACAGCTAAAGTTTGCAGTGGATGTGCGTTCCCAGGATGAAGTGTCCCTTGTGTTGCTTGTGTGGACTTGAGGTGTGCGTGCATGTCCACAGGGCACATTCCCACAGAAGGGGTGCGGAGGGCTGGTATTTTGATGCCAAGAGCCTGCTTCATTTGGGGCTTTCCTTGGCACTACTGGCTTTGATTTTGCTTCACTTCAGAGTCCTGTCTCCACCAGTGCCGAAGGGTTCTAGAGAGGAAGGGGGACTCTGACAGCCTGCTCCTCCCGTGTGGACCTTTCCCCTCCACCTCCTCCCTCTGCTCCTCCCAGGATCATAGAAATAGAAGCAGTAGTCCCTTCTGTCCTTGTGGAGGTGTATCTGCCCCAGAGGCTAGTGGAGGAGAGCCTGGATTTAGGGTCTGGGGCCAGATGAGACTCCTAAAGTTACATTACTACCCTGGTTCCGTGGGCCGGAGCTAGAAGAACAAGAGAGAGAGAGAGCTGGGACCAGAGTCTCTTGCCTTCATCCAACGTGGTCCCACCTAGACATTATCAGCGCTAGTTTAACCCTTATGGCTCCAACCCTGATGATCCAGTCTCTGTGTGGCGTGATTTCCAAAGAAGCGTAGTCCAAACAGCTGAGAATAATAACAAGTTTCAGTCTTTAACTGGCATCTCTCAAGATCCAAGATTAAATTATCACCTCCCTGGTAACACTTCTCGAATCACAACTTGCTTCCTTCTTAATTCTCTTGCACCCTGTGCGACTCCAAGGATTTTCATCCCCATACTCTCCAAAAAAAAAAAAACAAAAAACCACATTCTTTCCAGCATCACTCCTGCAACACTCTTTTCCTATTATCTTTTCTGCTCCAGTGCCCACTCTTTTATTATGTAGTTCAGTTTAGCAACATCAGCCCCACAACCTGTGCAGCTGTTGCCTGCCCATTGCCGGAATCTGCATCCCAGACCTGGCAGTCAGGTTGGGGTTTCTGCCTGGGACAGAAGAGGTGGGTGGGGCAAGAGGGGTGGGGGAGGGGCGAAGGCAAGCGAGTGAAGGCAACACCCCTGTCCATTTGGTACCCTCCTTTGGGAGGTGAGTGTGGGCACATCCACAGGGTACAGGTGTTAGCAGAGTGGAAGGACGGGGCATTTACATATCAATCGTGTCCCCCACCCCAGGTCTAGCATGCTAGCTTCTTTCCTCTGGTGACACACACACACACCATGAGCATCTATGCCTTCTGTGTTCCCAATGCTTTCTCTTTGGGGCTTGTCCCTCCCCGATCCCTGTACTTCATGAACCACTCACCCAGCTGCAAAGCAGCGAGAGTCACAACCCAGGTCTGTTCTGGGCCAGAGAATATTAGTCAAGAGTTCATGTGCCAGGCAGGAGACTGGCCTGGTCAAAGGAACGTTCTGTAGGACAAAAAAAAAAAAAAAAAAAAAAAAGGCCTGTGTTGGGTGTCAGAAGAACTAACTTTCCATCCGTCTGAACAGCCTCATTTGTATTTTGAACCTCATTCTATCAGGAGGGCTGAAGCTTGATCTGAAGTCAAATCAGGGTGCCTGTTCCATGTTCTTGGGGATTCATCTGTCTTCTCCAGGGCACAGGGAGACGGAGGGAAGTCTATTTAGGTTGTGATGTCATCTGTTTGCTGATACATCTGGGGCACTCCCTGCTTCCCTCATGCCCCTTTTGGTGGGTGGGAGTCGTGGTCCTGCTGCCATGAGCATCTCTACCTGTTGCACATACCACACAGCCATTCTGCCCCAGCTCTACCTGGGCAGAGGAACACTTGTCCCCCTCTGCTCTTTAATCCCTGTTCCCTGGCCTCCACCTGTGGAGCTCAGGCCCCTCTGGTCAGACTTCCTAATGTCTACCGCTCGTCACTTTGCCTCTGACTTTTCTCTCCAGTCCTCAAACTGGCAGCCTCTTTTCTTATCTGGATGATGAAGAAGCCTTCCACATTTTCATCTTCATTTGTCTATGCCAAAAATCTTTCTGTTCCCCAAAGAGTCAGATTTTAAGACTCAAAAGCCAAGTAGCTTAGAAGAACCTAGCTGCTTGAATGTGGAAGAAACCCAAGGAGGAGAGGAAATGCTGGGAGAAAAAAAAAAAATAAAATGTTATTTCAAAATAGTATCCTATTACACATGTTCTCTTATTTCCTGCTCATTTACTAACAGATGCTTACGTAGAAAGGTCAGAAATGTTTGTGGGATGGCTCAACATTCCTTTACTATAAAAGTCCAATGTCAGGCAAAGCCTTGTCATTCATCACCACCTTCAGCTGAGACACTAGTGGCTGGTACACATTTTGGCATTTGGCAACATATCCGTGTTTGTTGATCATTTATGCCAGCTTTTGTTTTCTTCAAAAAGCACACCTGAGTGCCTGCTTATCTGCAGAGGCAAAAGCCCTGTGGCCTGGGGTCCCTGGAAGTTGGTTCTGCTTGGGACAGTGTTGAGTACTGAGGCTGGGGGACGGGCTGGAGCCCACCCCACTCAAGTCTCAAATGCCATCTTGTGGAGGGGAGGGTTCATGCTGAGGACAGGAGAGAGCAGTGGAGGGATTCTCAGCAGGCTGCTGAAACTTGACCGTAAATGGCTACTATGGATTCACTTGTTTCTGAAGAATGGATACGGAAACAATCAACAAGAGGGTCTAGAACCACGGCTTCAGACTTTGCAGGTGCAATTTTTCTGCATCTCCAAATTTGAATAGTAAACAAGGCCGTTGCGAGGTAATGGTTGTAAAGGCCCCTTTGGAAATTGCCCAGGACCGGGCAAATGTAAAGAGGTCAGAATCAGATCGATTTGGAGACAGAAAAAGGTGCCTGCAATTTTCTTGACCGTGTTTCAGTGAAACTTACCAGAGACTGTACTTCGTTGGTTATGGCAGGATTTACAACTATTTAAGGAAGCTCTCTTGAACTAAAAGGCGTGTGTATTTATGCTCTGGATTAAATGGTCCCTCCCTGCAACACACACTAACCTGGTCAGCAGCCCCCTCTCCTAGCATCAGAACATCGTCTCTTCACCGTCCTCATCCTCACCGGTACAAGCTGTTGGACCTCTGCTGGTGCATGGCACTACTTAGGGCTGGGGTGGGGAACCCAGTACCCCAAGCGATGTGGCATTTTCTCACGATGCTTGGTATCTTGGCTACAGCGACAAGGTGCCTCGGTGGTGATACAAGGTGTCATGGCCTGGGCCATGGGTGTGGGAGCGGGGGTGGCCAGGGCCGTTATGTTTTCTGAACATAGATAACAAAAAGCCATGACAGAGTAAATCCCAAAGTCCATGTTCCTCCTTGCTGATGTATGTCTTTCCCAGAAACACTCTGTTGGACACCTGCTAATCACACCATAAGGTGGGCCCTTACTTAGCAGGGTGCAGGAGGCCACCAGGCATGGAAGGCCAGCACGCTCAAGTGTGTGGCCATTCCTCATACTGCTTGCACGGCCAGCATCACTAATTCATCGCGGCTCTCTTTCTGGCTTGGCCTGGCCAGTGCTGCAGGGAGCCACTGCCAGACCCGCGCAGTTGGCACAGGAGATGGCCCCTGCCTGCCAACCCCGGGAATGGGGTTTTGATGGGTTGTTCTGCTTGGATAGTGGAGAAAACAGATGAGAGCCAGGGAGGAGGAGAGAAGGTGGGGAGACGAGGGAGGAGGGGGGCCGAAAAGCCAGCTGGCCAGGGGCTAGAAGCAGGCTCGGGCGAGGCTGGCTCCAGAGCAGTCTGGAGTTGACAGATCCTTCTTGCACTGTGCTGTCTTTCTCTCCTTCCCCTCCCTTATCTTCTCTGCCTCCTCCCCTTCTCTCACCACCTCCTCCTCCCCTTCTTTCCCCTCCTCGCGAGCAGGCAGAGCCCGCCAGCGCCCCCCACTGTGCCCACTCTCGCTGTTCTCCTCCACTCTCTCCCCCCATGAAGGAAGAGACCACTGGAGTTTGCATGCACCCTCCAATCAAAACGAGGCTGGTAGGTACCCTGCCAGGGAGAGGGGCCTGGCCAGGAGAGGTGAGGCGGGCAGGAGCCACCAGGCGGCCACCCCACGGGAGTGCATGAGCACTAGACCTTCCGGAAGGGCCCGGCTGACAGGTGCTCTGACTCCAGGATGGATACATAGTTTGACCAAATTAGGACACGTGGCTGCTGGCCTGCCCTGTGTCTCTAGGTCTCAAGAACCAGGAAGAGTTCATTTTCATAAAGCTTTGATCAGCCTAGATGAGAAAAACCTTAGTTGCATTTCTATTGAAAATAAAAACTTTTTTTTAAACTTGTCTTTTCCTGCTGTTTTTCAAGATAACAGGATGTCACATACCAACCTGAAAGGAAACACCCATATCCCCAACCGAGCACATTTTTTTTCATTCTTACATGTGTCCTTCTAGTATTTATTCATGTCCATTCACAATTTTAGAATGTTAAGTCATAGTATCCATATCATCTCCTGTTTTTCCCTTTTCTATTAATGTTGGATTGTTTCTCCTTGTTCTTGTTGCCACATTGTATATGACTGTGTATATTCCATCCAGGGACTGGCCTACCATTCACCTACCACATTCTTACTGCAGGACTGTGCTTTGTTTCCAGTCTGTTGCTGTTCGAGGGAACACAAAAAGCTGTTGCATCAGGCTGGACCCTGCTGGGTTCAATACTGTGACCTTGGCTTTGCTCCCTTTCTAAAGTGATTCTACCAAGAGACAGCACCACCAGAAGAGGGAATATACTTTGCCACAGCTGAGCAACACAGAGTGTAACTGTTGGGATAGATTTTTTTTTCTTAGAGAAGATATAGGATAATTCTTTAAAGCTGCCAATGTTCACGTTTCTTTAAGAGCAGTAATATGCCTCTTCTCCGTTTTACTTCATGATGGTCTGAGAGTCTTATCTGTATGCAGCTTTTCACTTTGCTAGTGGTCTCAGAACACATGCTGCACCATTAGGCCTGGGAGGAGAATGCACCATGGGGCTTCCCCCGGATCCTCTCGCCATGCTGCTGGCAGCCGCTCCTGACAATTTGAATCGACACCTAAGTCTTGTCTTTTCTTTTTTTTTTTTTTTAATGTTTATGTATTTATTCTTGAGAGAGAACACGAGCAGGGGAGGGGCAGAGAGAGAGGGAGAGAGAGAGAATCCCAAGCAGGCTCCGTGCTGTCAGCGCAGAGCCCAATGTGGGGGCTCGAACTCACAAACCGCGAGATCATGACCTGAGCTGAAGTCCAGTCAGACGCTTAACCAACTGAGCCGCCCAGACTGTCTGACTCCTGAGTCTTAAGGCAGATTGGGACCCATCCTGGGAATTTTGAGATGTTTAAAGAGGCCAGAGAGAGTTTAGGGAAGGGGAGCCGGCCTGGACTGGACATCTCCGTGCACACAGCAGAGACATGGTCATTCGCAGATTGGTTGAGAAGTACTCCACTCATTCAGAACCCCTCCGCAGATCTGAGCATGTTCTGATGTGCTCTTGCTCAGCCCTACTTTAACCCCCGTCAGAGTGACTCAAGGCCATCAGGTAGCTACGCCAGGGTCCACGGACCAGCTCCTGGGAGAGACGTAAAAGCACCTGCCCAGGGGCAGTAGTGGCCTCGGTGTCCTGACTGCAGCTCTCTGGTGGCAGGTGGCACAGTGAGCATTCACCGGCAGGGAGGCAGGCAGTTTCTGTGCCCTGGGGGCTGCAGGCAGAGCCAATACCAGAGTCGTCAGGCCCCTGGGCCTGCTGGCAGTCCTCTAGGCCAGTAGAAAGAAATAAGCACACTCCACATGCCCCAGGGCCCCCAGGAGGTCAAAGACAAAATGACCAAAGGGGAAGGAATGGGAGCAAAGGCTCTTTTTGGCCACGCACTGCCCCCTGTTCAGGCTGGTGCCTCCACTCTGTCTCAGACCAGCTCTGTGCCGCAGCCTTCCCCCCGCACTGGGCACTTCTGAGCACAGTGCCTTTTAATCCCCAAAGGCCACGGTGGCAGGATTCGCACGTTCTTCCAGGGGTTTCTCCACAGTTTTCCTCTGTGGCCAAAACTTATAGGGAGTCCAACAACTACAGGGAATACCTTCTGGCCTAATTAGTGTGAGCCTCCTGGTGCCCTGTCTGCTCTCATAGACTGTGTCCCAGGATGTGGCCTGTAGCAGCTCCTAGTCCATGGCCCACAGCTGGGGGGCGGGGGGAGGGGCGGACAATCAGCAACCAGGCAGCTCTATCTGCCTCATTATACACCCTGGTCATGGCCTTTTATGGATCAGGCCATACATAGGGCTCAGCATGCCTGGGAGGCCCACACAGCCTCCAGGGAAAGGAGTTCCAGGGCAAGGTAAGCGTGGGGAGCCCTACAAACATGAGAGGGCATCCCTGCTGGGTCCCGGCCCCAACAGTGCAATGGCCCAGTACAGATACAACCACTGGCCAAAAGGCCTCCGGGACCTTCTGTGTGTTTCCTTAGACAAGCCGTGCGGGCTCTGCGTAGGTTCCCCTGAATCCTTCAGTTTGGTGTTAAAAGTGCACCCCCAAAGATTTCAGAACTCTCTTTGCTAATCGGTAAGTAACCCTCTTGTCTTTCTCTTTTTTGAAGATAAAAACGTTCCCGGCTGATCCAGTGACCCCGTTTCCTGATGCTTTCATTACAGGGCCACAGTTCGCCGTAAGTAGATTCAGAAAACAGGTCTGTGTTTTAAAATGTTTTCCCGCGTGGCATGCTTTTCTGTGGAATGCCAGACAATGATGTCGACAGCTTCATCTAATCCTATGAACTCTGTCAGGTTGGGAAGGAGTGGGATTTGGGGTCTACATCTTTTCATTGTCTTAAGTTATTCGATGCTTACTTATGAGCATCACATAAGTAAAACTGACCATTCCAAAGTGACATGTAGTACATCGAGTACATTTAGGGTCACGCAACTACGACTTCTAGTTCCAAAACATTTTTATCACCCCCAGAGGAAACCTCATTCCTGTGACACAATCACTCCCGTTTCCCCCCACCCCCCACAGCCCCTGGCAATCACCAATCTGCCTTCTGTCTCTATGCATTTCCCTAGTGCAGATATTTCTCATAAATGGAATCATGTAATATGTGACCTTTTGTGCTTCTTTCACCGAGCATCGTGTTTTTGAGGCTCATGCACATTGTAGGGTGTATCAGCACTTCATTTCTTTTTATGGTAGAGTAATGTTCCATTCTGTGTATATACCCCAGTGTGTTGCTTCCTTCATTCACTGATGGGTGTGTGGCTGTTGTGAACAGTGCCGCTGTGAACATGTGTGTACATGGATTTGTTTGAGTTCCTGTTTCCCATTCTTTCGGGTTGGATCTACATCTTGAAAATGGTGTGATCTTAGGTAAGTCACTTCGCCACTCTCAGCACCGATCTCCTCTTATTCTGAGCAGAAATAGTAATACGAACATCCTTCTTGTGTCTGCTTCAGGAAGGATCAAAAGCGATCAAGAACCTGGCAGAACGTTCCCAGCCACAGAATGTCCCACAGGTTGTTTCCCAAGGGTGGAGAGGCAGGGGTATCGTTAATGAGAGCAGGTCATCCTTGACTTCAGGACTGGCTTCAGGCCCCCCCACTGCCCTTTGCATCATCAGCTTCTTTAAGCTCTGAAAGTTGTCGAAATACTCTGAAGCATTTAAACGTTGTAGTTTCCTCACTGGCGAAGTGAATGAGTTTGATGAGTTTCAGGGTTCTTTTCAGCTGCAAGTCTTTTCTTTAAATGAAAGCTTCTGCAGAACTCACTCTGTAACAAGTGGCTGCATGGAGCAGAAGCGGGGAGTCTAAGATCACCTCCTGTTTCCCCTCACCGTCTCCTCCTTCCAGGGATCAGCGTTTGTAATTCCTAGAACTGAGTGATCCCTGAGGCTCCTTCCAGAGGCTTTCTGGCCAGCCCGGAGGATCTGTGGGGTGGCCTAGGGGTAGCCAAAAGTGCAGTCTCCTGAGCTAGGTGATGGTCACAACCAGAGGTGGCTTTAGCCACATGGAGAGGGAGGAAGTGGCTGGTGTAGCTTTCAGAAGTTGAACAGAGGTAAGAAGGCGTCCAGCAGTCCAGGCAGAGGCAAAAACAGGTTCCTAGAATAATGCATTTCTAAAGTCATGAACAGCTTCCAGCACCTGCCTTGTAAGAACCAGAGGGCCTGAGACACGGGCTGGGCCAGGCTGTTAAATGCTACTACCCCTACGTTCATCCGGCCCCTGCAGTTTCACTGGGCACCGCTCCCCAGCCGGAAGCTCCGCCTCCACTCCCCTCAGCTGGCCCCGTGCGGGGCCCTCTGGCCTCCTGCCCAGCCTTGGCAGTGCTGTGAGACACCCAGGGAAGCCCTTCCTGAAAAGCCAGGGGCCAAGATGCAGCAGGAAGCCAATGCCAGAAATCACACTGGGACTTTTAAGAGTGGCTCGAGGACAGCAATTTTACCAAGTTTCAAGATAATACTGGTGCGGCTAGTCTGGGGAACCATACTTTGGGAAGCACTGCTACAGTGGTGAAAAACACCAATTATGCAGCCAGCTAATCCTGGTTCTTAACGCTTACTGTGTGACCTTGGGAAAATTACCTAACCTCTCTGAGACTTACTTTTCTTGTCCATAAAATCAGTTTTAAGGTATGCGTTTTTTCACCTTTTAAATCTCTGAAGTCAGAAAATTCATTACATTAGTGGGCGTGGTAAGTTTGGCCATATTTTTCGTCCTTTGTGGCACGTGCAAAAATGGGAGTTCTTACAAATGATGGAGTCTAATGTCATGAAATTGACCTCTGCTTTAAGAGTTGCCAAGAGGTCATATATGTAAAATGACTGGCCCAAAATAAAATCATTAAATAAGTGGTAATTGATTTTAGCTATTATTAAAAAATATATCGGCAACTGTGTGGTAAGACTTAGGGAGTAGCTGACAGTATAAAAATGGAACCCAAGTTGAGATTGATTTCCTCTTTTCTGTTTCCTTGGCAGGCAGACTTTAGAGACAGTAAGTTACAGTGCTGTCCTGGCCAGTCTTCCCCACTGATTCCATCAGTGACCCTGAGGCCTTTGACAGAGACCGTCTCCACCGTGCAGACCATCTACACCACGCGGAAGCCTGTTTCTCTGGCAGCCAGGTGAGTCACCAACAAGTAACCGGCAAGTCCCTGGTGACAGGGAGAGCAGGCACAGGCTCCAGTTTCATTGTGTTTTTGACATCAACAAGCCTCTTATTTATTCTTTCATTCATTTATTCTGTGAGTATTTATTGAACCGTCTACAAAGGCTAGATAGTATTCTAGACCCTAGGGATGTATAGTAAGCAAAACAGATAAAAGTCCCACCTTTATGGAGTTCAAAAATTAGTGTTGGGGGAGGTGAGACAGAGGTTAAATAAATGTGTGTGTGTGTGTGTGTGTGTGTGTGTGTGTGTGTGTGTGTGTGTGTTTGTGTGCATGCGGTCATGTGAGAGAGAGAGAGAGAGAGAGAGAGAGAGAGAGAGAGAACAACCTAGGGAGGAAAATGAAACCAACAAGGGCAATGGGGCATTCTGGGATGGCCTCATTGAGGTGGTTTTTAAGCAGAGACCTGAAGGTGGGAAGGGAGCGGTCTTCAGATATTTGGGGAAAGAGTAATAGTCATCACAGGGAGCAGCCAATGCTAAGGCTTCTAAAATGGAATATGCCCAGAACGGTTAAGGAAGAGTGAGGGGGTAGTGCAGCCAGAGAAGAATGAATGACAGGACCCTGGACATCTTCCCATTCATTCAGAAGACCTTTCCTGAGAGACTGCTATGTACAAAGTCCTCGAGCTGGGCTTTGGGGCTAGGCTCTGGGGATTCAGAGATAAATGACATGTATGGTCAGTCTGCTGGTGAGCAGTGTCCTGAAGAACTCTCAGTCTGGTGGGGGAAACCAGGAGGCAGCCAGACAATTTCAGGTCATTGTAACCCTAGCAGCTGTCAGGGGTCCTTAAGGGGCCTGAGAGTCGAGAACCAAGGTCAGGAAAGAAGATGGGGGAGATGCATTTCAGCTGAACCCGTTTTTGTCATTTTTTAGCGTAATCTCATGATTTTGTCACCTGCTCTTCTTCAGTGCAGAGACGCTCCGGCAGGAACTGGAAAGAGAGAAAATGATGAAAAGACTATTGATGACCGAACTGTGAAATTCTCCCCTTGTTGCCTGGAGGATGGCATGGTGCCTTCTGTCCGTTTTCTTTCTTCGGGCTTTGTGTGCTCACTCCAGCACAACACACAGATGTGTGCTCTGTTCACCAGGTCTCCATGGCTGGTTGAAGCCAACTTCCGGCTTGACTTTATTGGAGAAGTTATTTTCTGTCTTCTGAGTATTAGAGTTTTTCTGCTACTCAGTATAGTTGGGACGGGATTTGGTAAACCTAGGAGAAGAAAGATGGGGAAAATGGGATTCCTTTTTAGTACTACCTGTGTGTATATATTGATAACCACAGGGGGTTAATATGGCATGGAATCCTTTGCTATCAGTCCCAACCATGATTTTGTATGATTGAAACTTGGACCAAGCTTTGACTGTTTGTTAAAGAGTCATTTTTAATGAGAGAATAATTCTTTACTGCTGGTTTTTCATTTACACTGGTAATTATACAGATACTATGAAGTCCTTAACACTCATTTTTATTCAGACATGAATTGATGAACTAAAAAAAAAAAAAAAAGTTGTGACCACCAGGACTGAAGCACTGTCAGCGAAATCTGAAATATAATTTAAATTGTGGGTTTGTTGGATACGATATTATTTGGGATAAACAGAACTTTTCACTAAGCCCAAAGTAGGAAATTATAGCTTAAATTGTCTAAAAATCCTTTACAAAGATAAGGTGATTCAATACCAAGATCCATTTGGGTGTTCCATAAAGGAAAATTATTTCTAAAGTTGATCAATTCTTGTCCTGTTGATAGAACCTTGACCAGATGACACTTTGCTGTCTTTTTATATAGTTTCAAGAAATGTGTTTTTAAATTTTTATTATGCACTTGAACAACTTTGCAGGAATAAAGGCACCCCCAACCACAAGCTAGCCCTCTAAATTGTTGCCCAAGCTCCCAATGAATATGCACACGTTTTTTCATCGTTGTGATCAGTGTGTATATACTCTTTGGTTGTATTTCCCCACCTAACACATATCTTCCCTTTTTAACACAGATCCTGCTCTCACCAATTTAAATGTCTCTATATCCACATAACATGGTTAACCTCACTTATCCCCATTATCAGATATTTGAGTTCTATCCAATTTTTCACTCTTATAAATACTGCTGCTATGAATGCCTTTGTAAAAGATGCTCCTTACTTTGGATTCTTCCCTTGGGAATATCTCCAAAGAGGGCTTACAAGGTCAAAGAGCATGAAATACTTTATAGCTCTTGTTTCATATTGCCAGATTGCTTTCTAGAAAGATCCAATCTCTGGGTTGGAAGGACCTTAAAGGTCATTAGTTCAACTCCCCTATTCCCTCTGAATGCTTGAATCCGTCTACGGTTTATAATGCCACCAGCAATGTATAAGCATTTCTACTTACCAGTAGTTCTGCCAGTATTGGGTTTTGCCATTTTAATTTATTTTTGCTTGTTTAATAGATGTGTATAGTTGTTCTTGAAAGGTTGTTTTATTTCATTAATTGCTAGCAAGGCTGAGCACTTTTCCACGTGATGATTTACTAGCTGTATTTCCTTGTGTGTAGAATGTCCATCCATTTCTTATGACCACTTGTTAAGTGGAGTTGATCTCATATATTTGTATCAGAACTGTATTTTTATGTTGTATAGTTTGCTCTCCTGTCCCTATCCTTAAAACTGAATGGTGCCAATAATTTGATACTAATGATTATAAAAAAAAAAGTAATGCCTCATTTACTAGCATTGTTGTAAAATGAGGTATGTAAGCAAATATTCAGATAACAGAGGATTAACCCTTTAAGTGCTGAACTTTAAAATTTTAATATTTTTTTTTTGAGGGAAATCTTTCTAAAATGCATTACGTACTTCCCTGCCTTAGTAAACAGAGTATACTGGAGAGTATTTAACCTTTTCTTGATGAGTCATGGTCATCGTTGTAAAAATCAGCCCCTTTTGTACCTTGGTGTGGTGCAGTGATGTCATCAGGAGCTATCAAAATACATAGGGCTTGGCTTTGCCTTTCACGGATTATTGTGCTGTTTTCACTGATGAATTTTACTGCTTTCTGCTCTATTGGTGAAGCCATCTGGGGCATTTGTGGTGTTTGGGACTTTTTACTCCCATACTGCATGACCCCTGGCTATACTTTGAAACAGCTTTACCTGTTCTTTATCTTGTGCACATGATACAAATGTGTTCCTGTACAAGACTGGGAAGCTATCTGTTTCTAGGGTTATAACCTCTTGCCAATCCAGCACCCTCCTCCTCTTCTAACCTGCTTTCTGAGTCTTCTGCTCTTCACTTCCTGCTCTCTGATGGAAACCTCCAGGGCAGAATGGAAGTGTTCTTGGGGAAGCCAGGAGACCAAGTATGACCTATGTGTCAGGTGTGCTTTGCTACTGAGGAGGGATGCATGGGCTTTTTTGGACGCTGTTTTCAGGAGGCTCTGAGTCTCCTGCTTTTCTCCCCACATCCCCCTGGGTTCACAGATGCTTCAGAAGTCGATGTCACTGGAAGTCTGATCGCAACAAGTTGGCTGTTACTGTATATGAAAACCCAGTACCTTTGGCAGCTCAGCTCTAACCAGTAAAATCAAGAAGATTCCACTGTTTCAGCAGTTGTCCTGGTTATTTGCCTACTTAAATGTAATGGCAGGTGCCTGGCATGGTGACCTGAGGAGATGACATCGTGTTGGGTGAATTCCTAGGGACAAAAATGAATTGCTATAATTGCTTCACCTTTTTTATATACTTAAAACAAACGACAGCACCATACGGTCACACAACACATACCTTATGTCCGGGGGTGGGGCTCAGCTTACTGACAGAATCATGTCAGAATACGGGCTCCAAACTGTGGGCCACAGACTCCTGGTGGGCATGGGTGGGGATAATACAAGAGGCCTGGGAATCCTGCAGTTCACAGAGTTTGTGGATTGCAGATGGCATAGAATATTGAGAAACTGGGTCCTAAAGCATTCAGAAGATTCCATCTGAATGCACCCCAAATTTTTTTCAGTTTTTTTGAAACTTGAAATTTTTTTTGTATGTTCCCAATGTTGTGCAAACATCACCACTAATTCCAGAACGTCTCCATCGTTACAAAAAGAAACTGCCTATCTACAGTGACCACCAATTCCCCCCACCTCCCTATCTCCTTAGCAACCACTAATTTACTCTCTGTCTCTGGATTTCTGCCTATGGATTTGCCTATTCTGAACATCTCATATAAATACAATCCTACAATATGTGGTCCTTCGTGCCTGGCTTCTCTCACCTAACACAATGTTCTCAAGGTTCATCCGTGTGGTAGCATGTATCAATCTTCATTCCTTTTTATGGGTGAATAATATACCATTGTATGGCTGTACCACATTTTATTTATCTATTCATCAGTTGATAGACATTTGAGTTGCTTTTCCTTTTTGGCTATTATGAATAATGTTAACATTCATATACAAGTTCTGTATGAACATATGTTTTCAGTTCTCCTGGGTATATAACTGTGATTGGCATACAGCTGGGTCATATGACAATTCTGTGTTTCACTTTTGGAGGAACTACCAAGATCATAACTTGTATTTCATAAACAACCAAAAGTGGGGGAAAAATCACATATACTAGGCGGTCAGAAGAATGGGCATATCTGTTACTGGTCAGACACTGTAATGCAGGGAGGGAGTTTTTATAAAGAAAAAAGTTGTTTCAGAGAAATGGTTTTGATGAGAAGAGAAAATAAAAGTGCTATCTGTCTTTTAAAAATGAAAATGAAATTAAACTCAGGCGCATCTGTAAGTTCTTATTTGAATTTCTGGCTCTTGGTTAGCCAGTAGTCTCAAAATGTTCAGGAAACGTGCCTCCCCCAGAAAATGTACACTATTGAGAAAACCACAGTATTTCTTGGCTGCTCAGCGAATTCACATCACCGGGGAGCAGAAGGTCTCTGAAAAACCTGGGATGTAACAAAGAGGGGAACAGGTCTCCCACCAGGGCTCAAATCTTATAAAAAGAAAATCCCAAAGGTAATTTAAGTGATTGGGGGAGAACTCCATGAAAAGAAGCAGCCAAGTCAGTAGGGAATTGAGGGCTGGAGTAGGTTCCAAGGTGCTGGTGACGCATGCAGACTTCGAGTGACCAGTGATACCTAGGAGTATTCTCCCTAGGAAAAAAACAAATCCATGCATCACATGCTCCAGCACTATCATAAGGTCCTTACACCACCCCTGGAACCTATCTGTGGCCCCCGTTGAGTCCGTGGACTCCAGGTCCCTTGATCCAGATTACCTGCAAGCCTCATTTTAAGCTATGGTTGCAAACCCACCTCCAACACCACCCCCCCCCCCCCCCATCAACAGCAACAACAAAAAGCCCACATGGTTTTGTCAGACCAATTTACTGGAAGAATGACCTGGTTTTCATTTGCTTTCTATCTGGCACCCTCACTGTTAATTGTAGTTATTAAAATGAAGGGAATAAAAAAGAAAGTGAAAGATAACAGCTTGGATTCCAAAACCAGAAATGTTTGTTTATTTTTTGGTGGGGGAGGGGCAGAGAGAGAGGGAGACACAGAATCCGAAGCAGGCTCCAGGCTGAGCGGTCAGCACAGGGCCCAACACGGGACTCGAACTCATGAGCTGTGAGATCATGACCTGAGCCCAAGTCGGACGCTTAACGGACTGAGCCACCCAGATGCTCCCATCTTATCTTTTAAATTTTATTTATTTATTTATTTATTTATTTATTTATTTATTTATTTATTTATTTATTTATT